TCCAGATCGGCAATGCCTGCTGGGAATTGTACTGCCTTGAACATGGAATTCAACCTGATGGTCAGATGCCAAGTGACAAAACCATCGGCGGTGGGGATGACTCGTTCAACACATTCTTCAGTGAGACTGGGGCTGGCAAGCATGTGCCCAGAGCTGTGTTTGTAGACCTGGAGCCCACCGTGGTCGGTAGGTTCTCGGGCACTCAGATGGCTGTCCTGGGAGGGTAGGAGAGCCTAGCTAAAGCCCCACATGAGCTCCTTTGAATCCCTCTGCAGAAAGGATAGACGTACAAGTGTATGCCCATCGCCATGTTAGTGGAGAAATTGGAGGGTTAGTTCTTGAAGTGTCTGTGAGACTCAGGCTCCTAATTAGGAAAACCTCCTGTAAGGTTGGCCAGCAGGAAGATGGGCTGGTGACAGATCCACTGGTGGCCACCTCCGCCCCGGTTAGGTGGTCATGTAGACCCTGTCTGCAGGGTGCCCGGGCAATGGTATGCTGTGTACTCCCTCAGGCTGGTGCACAAGTCTTGACCTGCATCTTAGGCATAGAAAGGTGAGTATAGAACATTCGTTGGGTTCCTCCAGATTAGAAGTCTGAGGTAGTTTCCAAGGAGAGCTGCAAAGAGAGCCCCTTTCAGTGGCCACCCAGGGGATGACAGAATGTCACCCTAAAGTCTGTGAGACCCAGGCCACATAGCGCAGCAAAAGCCATGCTGGGGACTGTCTAGTATGTAAGGGATTTTTAAATTGTACCCTTGGCTCTACTGCGGGTATGAAAAACACGCACGTGTAGAACGGCCTGTGTTGGGTGTGGGGGCTCTACTCCCTTCTTTGGGAAGCAGTCACACTGACATTGGTACCATGAGTTGACTCTTCTCTCCTGGAGCCGTAGTGTGCAGTTGTGGTCTGTGTATTAGAGACGTTCCCTGTGAGGCACTGATGCTGCTGACCTACAAGGAACAGCGTGTAGTTAGGAGAATGGAACGGCCCCCGAATCTGCCCACTCTGGTGAGTTAACAATAGACCTTAAAGACTCGCGGCCCCTGTGTCCTCTTTGCAGATGAAGTGCGCACAGGGACCTACAGGCAGCTCTTCCACCCGGAGCAGCTGATCACCGGGAAGGAAGACGCGGCCAATAATTACGCCAGAGGCCATTACACCATCGGCAAGGAGATCGTCGACCTGGTCCTGGACCGGATCCGCAAACTGGTAAGAAGAGCTCTGACAAGGCTTCCTGTGGACCTTGTCCTGGACGGGAGGGTAGGCCTTGGATTGTGACCGGGAGGACATTTTGGGAGAAACCGAGGCCAGAGTCATGAATCCACAGTCTTACTCTGCAGTGTGGCTGCGGTGCATCCATGCAGCTTTCCGTCTGCTCTGCTTTGCCTCTAAGTGTGATGCGTGTTCACTGTGGAGGTGTGAATCGTGTGATCTCGCATGTGAAGAGAAGTGACCGTGGCGGGTTGGAGGTTGGTGGTGTGGCTTCTCCTGGGCGCTGGCTCACGTCCTCTGCTTTCTCTCAGGCGGATCTGTGCACGGGGCTGCAGGGCTTCCTCATCTTCCACAGCTTCGGGGGCGGCACCGGCTCTGGGTTTGCGTCTCTGCTCATGGAGCGGCTCTCCGTGGACTATGGCAAGAAGTCCAAGCTCGAATTTGCCATTTACCCAGCCCCCCAGGTTTCCACGGCCGTGGTGGAGCCCTACAACTCCATCCTGACCACTCACACGACCCTGGAACATTCTGATTGTGCCTTCATGGTGGACAACGAAGCCATCTACGACATATGTCGGCGCAACCTGGATATTGAGCGGCCCACATACACCAACCTCAATCGTCTGATCGGACAGATCGTGTCCTCCATCACGGCCTCCCTGCGGTTCGATGGGGCCCTGAATGTGGACTTGACGGAATTCCAGACCAACCTGGTCCCGTACCCCCGCATCCACTTCCCGCTGGCCACCTACGCCCCGGTTATCTCAGCCGAGAAGGCCTACCATGAGCAGCTGTCCGTGGCCGAGATCACCAATGCCTGCTTCGAGCCGGCCAACCAGATGGTCAAGTGTGACCCTCGCCATGGCAAGTACATGGCCTGCTGCATGTTGTACAGGGGCGACGTGGTCCCGAAAGATGTCAACGCGGCCATTGCCACCATCAAGACCAAGCGCACCATCCAGTTTGTGGATTGGTGTCCGACTGGATTTAAGGTAGGACTGGTGATGGGGAGTGGGTCTCCCTGTTGGCAAGCAGCAGACCCTGCCATACAACGCTGCCACTTTGCAGAGTTCCCCTGTTCCCTGACAGCTTGGCTCTTGGTCATAACTTAGGGGACCACAGTGATCATTTATTCAATGGCATCTTTTGAACTTCCTTCCTGAGTTATCATACTGTAGATCTGTGGTGAGAGTACATTTTTTTAACAAAATCTTTTGAAGGACTTTTGTTCCCTTTTCTGGGTGGTAGAATTAGTGTGGGAAATGTAGGTTGGACTGGGAAATGTGGGCATTGTCAGGGCATTTCGGTAATTCTTCTGGTTCTCTGGGGAATTACTATCAATTGATTGCCGTCACTGAATCTTCCTTCATTCCATAAGGGTAGAAACTACATCCAATTTCAATGTCCTGTGCAGTGTTGGATTTAAAGAAAAACTATCATGAATCTTTTGTGAAGAAAATGGCAACATCTTTATTTCTCTCTTGGGAAGCCTAGAAATTCTGGCCTGAGTTTGCCTCAGACCACAGTTTGTCCCCACCTTCCATTGGAGACGGGATGGACACGTTGCTGTCGCTCTCCAGCTTTGTCCAGTCCTGGGTCACTGAACCCTGTGGATGATTTCCCTCAGGACTGTGCTTCCTGAGCCTTTTCATGTCTCCTCTGCCAGTCCAGACCCTCCCTGCTCCTGCTGGGCCTGCTGCAGTGGATTCTGAACTAGGCTTCCTCCTCTGGTCCTCCTCTAGTTCAGGAGTCTGCATGGTGGGTGGACCAACCGCCTGCTTCTGTAATTATGTTCCATGTGAACACAGCCACACCTGCTCATTGGTGTATTGTTGTGGCTGCTTTTGCTGCAGACAGAACTGAGGAGCTGTAACAGACCACGTGGCCCACCCAGCCTAGACTATGTAGGGTCTCGCCCTTACAGACAATGTTTGCTGACCCGGGCTCCAGCTGACCCTGTGTGCTGCTGCCAGATCTCTGAGCACGTCATCCTTTGGGTCCTGTACTCGGAATGCCTCCCCTTTGGTCCCAGCCCTAGAATATCACCTCCTTCCTCCTCCTTAGCACACGCATAGGCCACCTCCTGGTGCAGTGGGAGCAGCAGTCCTAGGACCTCTGACAATGTACCTGTCACCTGCTCTGCACAGGCTGGCTCATTTGGTGGGAAAGCAGGGGGTATGATCTTCCCTCGTGATACAACCACAGCTGTGTGCTCTGAATCTACTGGGTGGAAGAGGCTTCAGCCACAATTTAATCCCCATCTCGTTGAAGCCTGTGGAGATAATAGCGTATGAAGAATCCAGGGCAGTGTCCCTTTTCAGAAGGAAGACGTTGCTGTTACCTGCGCACTGATCACACATCACAGTTGCTGGGACATAGCCCTTCAGGCAGCTTGGGACCCAGCCAGGGTGGCTGACTCAGGCTCCTCTTTTCCTGTTTTCCTTGTCTGGAAACCAGCACCCTGCTCTCCTGGCACCTTGCCTGGCACCTCGCCTGGCACCAAGAAGGGCTCAGACTATAGGGTGAACCGAGTCTTCTCCTGGGTCGCCAGAGGGCACCTGTGCGTTTTCTGTTTCCATGATTCAGCCTCCATTTCTGGGTTTGACAGAAGCTTCACAGAGTGCTCTCTTCCCCTTCTCTGGCAGGTGGGCATCAACTACCAGCCCCCCACGGTTGTGCCCGGGGGAGACCTGGCCAAGGTGCAGCGGGCAGTGTGCATGCTGAGCAACACCACCGCCATCGCCGAGGCCTGGGCCCGCCTGGACCATAAGTTCGATCTCATGTACGCAAAGCGAGCCTTTGTGCACTGGTACGTGGGGGAAGGCATGGAGGAAGGAGAGTTCTCTGAGGCCCGGGAGGACCTGGCAGCGCTGGAGAAGGACTACGAAGAGGTGGGCGTGGACTCCGTGGAAGCCGAGGCCGAAGAAGGGGAAGAATACTGAGTGGGAGAGTGTGGCTGGCAGCCTCCCTTTGTGTCCTTGCCCCGCTGTAACATTATGATACGCTTACGTATTAAAGTGTCTGTGTTAAACCTCTGTCTGCTGTGGTGCTCGGCTGGGACACACTCGTCTGCGCACAGGAGTGGGTAGGACCCCAGAGCCTGATGGCCACATGGAAGGCTGGTCAGGGCTGCACAGGGCTGCCCTGCTGGAGTGGGCGGAGTGCCACCTACATCTGTAAGGAGCCACTGCTTACGTGACATGACCCGGGGCGAAACAGTCAATATTTGCAATCCAAGCTTTCAAAGCATGAAGATTTACTAAATTCTAGGAAAACTGAGTTAGGTTTTTCACTTGAATTTGCTAGTTTTCACACTTCTCCATTGATGGCACATGTGGACTAAAGTATAAAAGTTTGAACTGGAGTTTTAAAATCTGAGGTCCGTGCAAGTTTGGGGTGTTCACCAAATCCTAAAACTGTCAGTCAGATGTGTAAGGTCAGGAAATTTTTGGGGAAAAGGGTTTTTTTAGAAATTTTCCATGGTATTTATGACCCTCAGAAGGTTAGAAGCTGTAGGTTACAACAAAATTCATCTTTGTCCTCACATCCATGGTCTCAGTAAAAGCATCGTACTTTTCACTTTAAGCAAAACGTGTTGATGTGTTTATGAGACCTGGTAATACGGATATTTTCTCAGACCCGAACGTGAGGTCCTGGAGGGGGAAGCCACTGGCTTAAGTCACTTGGTTAGTGCAGCTGTAGCATAACCAGGACCAGCGACAGAACTAATTCTACATCTTTGTGCCTTACCATATTCAACAGGTGATAGAGAACGTCTTGAACAGACTCTCAGCTTTTCAAAAAGGTTTATTACCAGCTGGAGGAAACCACACAGAGACTCTGTGAGGGGGCTGGGGAGCCCACAGTAGGGCGGCAGGAGTCTCTGCCCATCTCAGGTGCTGCCCCGAGTGGGGCTCTTCCCCGGTGCGCCCCCCTTGGGCAGCCTGGTAGCACTGGGCTGGCGGGGCATCCTCTGGCTGGACCCTTCCCGGCCGCCACGTTCTGCCAACGCTGGGCCTCCACCGAGAGCACTGCTGCCTTTGTTTCTCCCTGAGCAAACAGAGAACAGCACGGTCAGGAGCCAGGGCAAGTTCCACAGTCGCAGCACACCTCCTGTGTTTGTGTTCTCTAAGCGACGTTTACGTTGAGTGCGTTTCTGTCACGGTCCTTTCAGCCAGGGACCCTATGTCAGCCCTGAGTCCTGAGTCCTCCAAGAGGAGTCCTCGGCAGAGTACAGGAGGCCCTCCTAGGACAGGGGCAGTGTCAGGAGTGATGGGGAAAGTTCTAGTGGTCAATTTCGGGGAAGGGAAGCTCAGCCTGTTGACTCCTGCCCTGGAAAGCCTACGCAGCTAGCCATGACTGCTAGCGGCCCTGCCCCCAGGCACTCTCCCCTCTAGACAGCCTGCGGCCTGCATCTGAACCGATCAGGAAACACATCAGTCATTGAGCACAGAAGTCAGGCCTTTAGATTTGATCTAGAAAGCTCTTTCTCATGTTTTGCGCCCTCCCTGTATTCTGCAAACATTCAGTGGTCAAGCTTCCTGTTCCCAGGGTCATTCCTGGCTCCTGCCGAGCCTCGACCTCCCGAGCCTGCCCTGACCACTAGGTCGTCACGCTCAGAGAGAGGCTCCACAGACGGAGCCCATGGGTCCAGACCCTCCTTGATTTATCCCTTGCTGGCTTTATTCTCTGTGAAGACAGCTGGGAAGATCTCCAGCCACGCCGGGGCCAGAGCTGGATTAAAGGAGTAGCTGCCCTGGGCTCAGGGGGTTGACAGCATCAGTGAGACTGAGAGGACTCCATGAGGACAAATGTGCCCGGGAATAGGCTCGCCTGCTGGGTCCCAGTCCCTCCCCCTTGGGCCTGCCCCAGCCAGGATTCTCCTCTGCTCTGGCCTGGCAGGGTCTGCCCTGCAGGCTCTGATCAGGGTACGGGTGCCCTGCGTGACCCCAGCCTCCATCCAGGTTCTCAGTCAAAGAGCCTGCAATGGGGCATTGTGAATTCTTGGAGGAAAGACTCAAGGAAGGTTCTCAGGGGCCTTACTTTAGGTCACTTCAATGTCACCATTTGTCACCTTGAGCCAGCGGAGGCATCTGCCTTTGAGACTCTGCAGAACCTGGCACCTCCAGAAGGAAATCAAATTCACTTTCATGCTAATACTGACAACTGAATTCTCCCCAGGATGCCTGCAGGGATAGGACAGACCTTCTTACAAGAGTTTCTGGAAAGTTCTTCCTCAGAGAGCAGGGGGTCTTTGCAGCCTACCCACTGGGGACATGACAGCCCTGCTGAAGGAGCACACTGCGTTCGAGCATGGCAGCACAGCAGGCCAACCTGACATCTTCAAGGCCGGGTGACAGGGTAATAGCCAGGGCAAGTGGGTGGCCAGAGCAGTCCATTGCCTGGCTAGAGAGCCCACCAGAAGGTCTGTACCTACCAGCCAGTACTGCTGCCCTCTCTGGCCAGGCACACAGTAGGGGCTTAATCAGTGCTTCCAGAACACATTACAGACATAATGACAGACCGACGTACACCAAGGACATGTACATGTGCACTTTTAACCCTAAACTGAGCCTCCACTTCTTGGGACGGTGTTCTCCCTCATGGGTGTGCCCAGTGACCCCCTCCCTGCATGCGTGTACACAGCCCTGATGCGGTGTTTTGGGAGAAGTGTTATCGTGAATGGAGCAGCGCTGTCAATGGAAATGAGATACGAGCCAAATGTGTAATTTTTACTTCAAAAAGCATATATATATATATATATATATATATATATATATATATAGTCATTTGCACATGGGATCAGTATAAGAATTACCCGTGAGGTGTGACATCCCCTCTGTGTGCCCATCCCTTGGCATCTGGGCACGTGGTGGGCATCCACATGCCCAGCACCAGCCCCGGGGCCTGTGGCTCCCGCATCAGACAGTGCAGCTCCATGTGCGGCTCACGGCTTCTACGCCCAAGCTCATCTCACCCGTCTTGGAGGGACATCTTTCTAAAACATATAGCTTCCCTAAACTTCAACAGGGAACACTCAACTGAATGTAACTTTTCTTCAGTGACCCCACATCCTCCCCATGAGAAGCATTCCCCCACTGTGTTTCCAGGGGTCTTCTACTTCCCCTTTTTCTTCTGGAAAAGGCAGAAATGAGAGAGCTTATCGGTGATAGTCCCCACAGGCCACCTCGATGGCCAGGGGTCAGGAACAAAGTCAGGCCCCTCAGTGGGACTCCAGCCCTTGGACTGGAGCAACTCCACACCCTGATTCTGTGGGAAACGTAACGCTAGTGAGGGCCAACAGCCCAAACCCCCTCATCCTCCTGGCCACCATGGTCCCCACATTTGCCTCGCTCTGACAACTCTCCACCCCAGATCCTGCCATTAATGAGATGGCCAGAAGGTCTCTATGCACAGATGCTGTGACATGGGGCCTCAGAGACCTGTCTTGTGCGGTGGGCTCTGTCTCTCGGCCACAGCGCATTGCTGGCATGGCCTGTCAGAGGCCCCACTCCCCTCCACCACCTCCCCATCAAACGCTTCCCCGGGCTGCCCTAACCCCCACCAGGCATCTCCCCAGGGCCTCTGTGTCCTGGTATGCTGGCCGCTGGCCACCCAGCCCAGCAGGACCCAAGGCCTGAGCACTTGAGGAGAAAACGACCCCATGGAGCCCAGGGCTCCACTCATGTCCCCATGCTCGGGGCTTCCTCCCCACCTCCCTCAGAGCCCCCTCTGACCCTCCCAACCCCTCTATGCCAGTGCTCCCAGCACCATTCCCACAGCACACCTCCTGACCCTCTGCTCTCTCCCTCTTCCCACACCCCCAGCTCAGGCCCTCCTCCCACCAATGGGCTGCATCCACACTCTGCATCAGCCTCCCCACCTGCCCTTCCCTGCTCAGCATCCTCCCACCACCCCACCTGCAGGGCTGTAGGGCAAGGAGACTGGAGCTGGCCCAGAGGGCCCCCCGGCCTGCTTAACCCTTACTGCTCCAGCAAGGCCCGCTGCACTGGCCTCTTCTCGTCTCTGTTACTGTCGGTTTGTCTAGCCATCTCCCTCCCTGGACCAAGAGCATGTCCATCTCGCAGTCCCACTGCACCCCAGCACTGACAGCCGGCCTGGTACCCAGAGTCCTGAGAAGTGAGCCCCAACACCCCTCAAGGGAGGAGGGCTCTGTTCCCAGTTTCTCCCTCCCCCTGGAAACTCAGCCATCGATTCCTCAGCCCAGCCTCTAGTCCACCCCCCCCCGGTGGGGGAGGGGCGTGAAGGAGGGCAAAGCCAGAGCACCTGTGGGATCTCAGGCCCTCCCTCACACACCCCTGGAAACACCTGGCAGGTATCCCAGCTCAGGAACCAGACAGAGAAGAGTCACAGTGTATCCTCCAGGCTGCCCCCCCGGGTGGCCGACAGCATCTCAGAGGCCAAGCTGTTTCTCACACCCAGGGCTTTGCTCTCCAGAGCATGCCATGCTGCCCCTTCCCTGCCCCTCGGTCTACTGTCCTCCTCTGGGGTGGGGGAACCTCTACAGAGCACAAGTCTCACCCAGCAGAGTTAACCTCTGGGGACGGGGGTGTTGGTCCCATTCTAGAAGGACTGCGGATTGTCTCTAATAAAGTGAGCCATGAAATCCTGTTCTCAGTCTCTAAGCTGATGGCAGGGATGGCCCGCAGGGTCCTGCCCTTGCAGCTCGAAGCTGCTCAGGCTTTCTGGGGGCCACGGCAGTTTCCATGGAAACAAGAGCACAACCCCCAGAGATAAACCAATAAACGCAACCTGTAAAAGGAGAGAACGGGCAGCAAGAGAACCGGAGGGACCCGGGGGGCCCGGGAGAGAGAGGCGAGTGCGGGGCAGCGGGGCCGTGGAGCAGAACCGCAGAGGCCGCAGGTGGTGGGACCCAGGAAAAGGAGGGCCTTGCAGGGGGGCTACAGTTCTTGGCAGAGAGAGAGGAGGCCTCTGGAGGTCAGAGAGAGACACAGAGAGAGCAGACAGAGCGTGGGTCAGTGGGGAGGCCTGTACTCGAGTGCCCAGGGCCTCATGGGACAGGGGACGCAGGAACCCAAGGGCCCTGGCACTCCCAATCACATGGGCCCGGCCTGCCCTCCACCCGAACGTCAGCCCTTCTCGGGGTGTCTGTAAGAGCCCTGTGCTTCTGGCCAAGGAGCCAGCCCAGGAGGTCCGGCTGCATGTCAGAGAGTTTCTGACAGCCTCTGGGAGCAGAAGGGACACAGGGAGGATGCAGGTGGAACTCCACGGTGACACCTGGTCACCAGCACCTGTTCACCATGCCCCAATCTTCACTCTGGAGAATGATGAGGCCCCTCACACTTGAGCCCAGCGCTCTGCCACTCCGGCCTCTGCACCCGAGTGTCTAGGGCAGTCAAGGGCTGCCAGGCTGACTCCCGACCTGCATCCAAGGAGGGAAACTCAGCTGGCCAGACTCCTCAGCAAGGCCTGGGCCAAGCGGGGTCCAGGTGAGGGGGTGGGAGGAAGGCTTCTGCCTGCCCGGCTCTCTGAGCACTTCCCTGGAGTCTGTACAAACATGAGAACAGGAACGAAAGCAGTCTCGTTCCCGTGTTTGTGGGATGAAGGCAGGAGCCCAGAGGTGAGAAGAGGCTGGGGCAGCAAAAGCCCCAGATGAGGCCTAGCCCACTGGGCCTCCCTGGGGCACCCGCTCTGCGGCCACCCGATCTGCACGTGCTTTCTCTACGGCGGCAGCCAAGCCGAAGACGGAGACTGAAGCCCCAGGGCCAAGCCCTTGGCTGGCCCAGCGGGTCCCGGGAGAAGACCAGCAGAAAGGCCTGGCCACGGAGGGCCAAGCCGGCGCAGGGCTGGGCGCTGCCTCCCCCTGCCCCCGGCCCCGCCCACGCCCCCGCCACCTCGCTGCCCGGGCCGCAGGGGCAGGGAGCACCGGGCCCAACTCTGACCTCTCGTCTCAGGCGCACTCGATGTGGGCAGTGACACGGCCGCGGGGGCCTGGGACTCGCTCGGCAGCCTCTGCCCGGCACACATGGACTTGAGCATCTGGAAGACGGCGAGGGGCGCCACGTTCAGCTTCAGCAGGTCAAGCAGGATCCTGGAGAGACAGACGCGCTGCGCAAGGAGCCTCCTCGCCCGGGCCAGGCTGCTCGGCCAGGGCGGGCAGGCGTGACCGCCTCCCTCAAGACCCCGACTGTACCCTAGGCCTCAAGGGGGTCCGACAAGGGCGGTGGGAAGGAGAGCAGGAGGGTCGGGGGTCGCCGAGCGCGCAGCCCCGCCCGCGCCCGCTCACTTGAACACATCGGGGTCCATGGCGCCGCCCGCCGCCTGGGCCAGCTCGTACAGCTCCATCTCCTCGGCGCTCAGCACCTTCTTCCGCCGCAGCGCGAGCTTCTGCAGGGCCGCCTCCAGCCCCGGTGACGCCCCCGGCCCCGGTCCGGCGCCCGGAGCAGCCATCTGCGCGGCCGCGGTAAAGCGCGCTCACGGCCAAGCCCCTGTCCCCGCCCCCTGTCCTCCCCGCTAGCCCAGTCACCTAGCCCAGCCCCACGGGCGCGCCCACAGCGACCTCTAGCGGCCCCTCCGACCGTTTCTTTCCCCGCAGCCCGCAGCCGGAGGGCAGGCCGGCTCCGTCTCCCCTCCGTCCCTCGGTCCGCAGACGTATACGCGCTGGACCGTCTGTTAGGTATCCCAAGGAAAAAGTGGCCGACCGCTGAGACCCGCTCCTTTTCGATCACGGCTTCCCTGCTGGGCTGCCTCGGCCGTTGTCCCTTAGGTAGCAGCACGCAGCGCAGTGCCTGGCATCCACTGGGCGCTCAATAAATGCCTGTCGGAGGAAGAAGGGCAGTCAACACACTCTGCGTAATTGGTCTGCGCCGGTTCCCCACGAGGGGGCGTGCCTCGAGGGCCCGAATCAATGGCGTCTCATTCCGCGAACTCGCCGTCCTTGCCTCTGACACAGCGTGTGAGCCCGTGTCCAAGCGGTACAGCTGCCCCCACTGCGCACGCGTAGTCAGAGGCGGCATCCATACATCCGGCCACCGTTGGTTGTGCGCATGCGCCTTTTGAGGGAGCGGCCCACGGAGGCAGCGGCGCGTTTCCCGCCAGGCCAGGGGGCGTGACGCCTCGCGCACCTTGATGCCGACGTTTCGGCGCCCAGAAGCCGAACGGCGGCCTCGGAACCTGAGGCGAGCGACGCTGCGGACCCCACAGGTGAGTGGCAGGACCGCCCCGCGTTCTGGCGGCCTCTGGAACCTCCGCCGGCGCCGTCTCGGTCCCCCGCGCTCCCGGGCTGGAACGGCGGGGAGCCAGGCCGGCCGCGCCCTCCTGCCGCCTCCGCGCCCCGCGGCGGGGCTCGGTTACAGCGCGGCGAGCGGCCGGAGGGCGGGAGCTCCGAGGGAGAGCGGAGCCTCGGGTCGGCCGGCGGTGGGGGCCCGCCCGAGCCCTCCTCCCGTGTGGCTCGAGTTCTCCGAGCCTCAGTTTCCCCGTCTGTAGGAGGGGACCCGGAGGCTCCCTTACAGGACGCAGCGGCCGGGGGGAGGCCTGGCGCTGTCGGCGGTGCCGGGGCTGCGGCTCTCAGAAGAGCCCGCCCAGGCGGGGCCGCTCGCGCCGGCGGACGGGGTGGCAGGGCGGGAGCACCCTGGCGGGCGGGGTTCCGCGCAGGACGGGGCGGGCGCCGCCGCCTCGGGGTCCCGGGGCTGGCCTCCGGCCGCCTCCTCCGGCCGCTCCCCGGCTCCTGTAAGCGCGGGCGCTCCGCTCTGGGCCCGCGGGACAGGAGCTCGCGCCGCTCGACCGTCCCCGAGTGCGGCCCGTGCTCCCGGGAGCTCTCGGCGGGGACTCAGTCGTCCTCAGAGCTGGCGTGGGCAGCGGGCGGCATGAACAGCTGAGAGGCCCGGGAGGCGTCCGCCCGGCCGAGGGGCGGAGGTGCGCGTCTCCCCTCGGCCTCGCCGCCGCCACCGGCCCGCGCTCCCGGTCCGTCCCCTCCGGTCCCCCCGGCCGGCCCTCAGCGCCTCCCGGAGGCAGCGGGACCGCGTGCCTCCTCCGCTCCGGGTCTTTCCCGTCCGCCCGGGGCGCAGGGCCGAGTCTGCAGAGCCGGCCCGACGTTCTGACGGCTCCTGCGGGGGCCCCTCCGCTGCCTGCGTCCCCAGCAGGGGTGAGACCGAGGGGGGTGCCCGCCCGCCCCGTGAGGGGTCGTGAGAGGCCTGTGGGCTTGACCCTCGGCTCTGCCCGTTCCCCCCGCCGCCTCCTCCTCGTCTGTGCGGCCCCGAGTTGTTGGGAGGCGGGATTTTCTGTTCTTGCTCGGCAAGCTGGCAGCACAGTCACGAGGTCAGCCGTGCGGGCTTGGCTGGGTTCTCTGCTCCGGGTCCCCCAAGGCCGAGATCGAGTGTTCTCGTGAGGCCTCGGGAAGAATCTGCTTCCCAGCTCGCGCAGTGGCAGCAGTTCCTCGGGGCTGTGGGACGGAGGTCCCCTTTCCTTGCCGCGTCGGCCCGGATGCTCTGTGCCGTGCGGTCCGCCGACTGGACACTCTCCTGGCGTCGGCAGGACCCGTCGGCGGTGCCTCGAGGGGCGTCTGACCGACCCCCGGCGGCGGGCCCTGAGGCTGTCCTCGGAATGCTGCCTGCCGCCGCCGGTTAAGGGGACGGCTGCGGAGAGCCCTGCACCCAGGCCTGGCTCCCGGCGGGGCTGGACGGGCGTCCCCGGGCCCCGAGGACTCCCCGCCGCGGGCTGGCGCCGAGGCCGAGGCGGTGCCGGGAGACGGGGCTGGCCGGCAGCGGGGTGGCGCGCAGCGGGCTCTCCGGGCGCTGGGAGGAGGCGGGGTCCCTCCTCGCGTTCCCCCAGCGCTGTCCTGAGACGGCCTCGTCCTCTCCGCGGGAGCCGCTGTGGCCCCTCGCCCGCGGCAGCCCAGCGTCCTGCGGGAGGGTCCGGCGAGGACAGTGCCGCAGCTGGGACTGGGGAGTCTGGCCGCGGACTCGAAGAACTCTCCAGTGGTGGTTTTTGGGGGCCTGTGGACTCGGGTTAGAATCCTTGGGCCGGACTCTGCCTCCTGTTGGTGCAGGGCCTCGCGTTTCCTAGAGCGCTGAGCCCTGGTTTTCTCTTCTGTAGGATGAGCGGATTCAGCTGCCGTTTTCCTGCTTCCTGGGGTATGGGGAGGAGCAAGGAAAAGGGACGCACATCCCAACTTTCAGGTCTTGTAAGTCCTCACACAAAAGTGAGGCGTTCTAATAATCGTAACTGTCGTCAGTGAAAGGTGGAGGGACACTGCTATGCTGGGGGCCACCAGAACTGTACTTAAGTGTTAAAGGCGATCCTGAGAAGCTAGTGTGAGGCAGATATCAGTGATGAAAGTTCCTAATTTCAGTCCCCAGAAGACACTTGCTGTAAACGTTGATTTAGAAGGACGTTCTTCCTCAGTGCACTGTCTAGCCAACAGACCTGAGCCATGGCCTGAACAGCCCAGGTCTCCACCTCTGACTGGACCCCGTGACTCTACCCCTGTTTGGAGGTGGACAAGGCCTGAGATGTCCTTTGGCAAAGCCCTCTGGTTAAAATTCTGGCATTTCCTCCTGATCTTTATCCATTTGCACAGAGGCTTCTTTTTCTTCGTGTAGTCAGGATACATACGTGCTTTTCCTGCACCCCATGACCTCGGTAGTTTCCTTAGTTCTTGTCCTGAATGTTTTCTTTCCATCGCCTTCCTGATTAATGTCAGCACTTGGCTGAAGCCATCTGTAGTTTTTAGCCTTCCTTATTTCTTAAGGTGATGAATTCAGTAGGTTCATTATCTACTGAATAAAGGACATCTTGGTTAAGAGGGCTTAAATGACAAGAGAAGACACCCTTGGTTTTTTGGGCATTCTCACTGGTAATCACAGTGGGGTACATCATGGGTGGTCAGTCACATGGGAAATCTCCAATTCGGGTGTACACACGGTGAGTACTCTGTGGTCTCTGAGGGGTGCCCTACATGATAGGGATCCCCTTCAGGCTGTCGGGTTGACCTTGGAGCCGACCCCTGCTTATGGATTGGGTAGAAGTCAATTTTGTTCTGCTAATGTGCACTTCTCTCAGGTAACTGGGGATTCCTGAGGGAGGATGCTGGGAAGCAGGCCTGGGACTTACTGGTCTAGACAGCATAGGACTTGCCTCTCTTCTAGTAGCATCCTTTAGGCCAACGGCACACACAAGACCTGATGTATGAGGTATTGCAGAGTCAGGCCAGTGGTTTGTGTCTGACTCCTGCTTAGCACTTGGATTTCTGTTTTGACTTGTGGGGACGTGGAATTGGCCACCCCAAGATATGTCTCTTTGGCATCAGGATTATTTGAGGCTGATTGCTTTTGATAAACTGGGACAGGGAAGGAGGCTCTGAGAATGGAACTTGCCCTTTGTTAGGACATATTTACATTTGTAAGGTAAATCTCTATCTGTAAAATGTGCCTCCCTCTCTGTACCAGGAAGAAGAAAGGAGATGACCTTCTCTCTAAAAACTCTTAATCAATACCAAAGGCAATGACTTAAAATCTGCATTTTATTGTGCTAGTCTGGTAACCTCCTGTAACTGACTTCCCTCCCCCTCCCAACATTGGCATTTCTTAAAGATTAAGCATCTTTCTTTAGGCTAGGAACTGATTGCTGAGCTCACCTGTGACCGCCCAGCTCCAGACAATCGACTTGCCTCCGGCTACGCCCTCTGAGACAGCAGACCACTACCTGCTGTGTCCATCAAGCGCTGTGCCGACAGGGCAATCTTGTGACTATCGTGGGAGGGACATTTCAATCACATGTGAAACACCCTGTTTGGGGGTATATAACCACTGTGTGTACCCCACTTTTTCGGTGCCCTTTCTTCCTTCGGGAAGAAAGGCCCCGGGCCATGGTTCCTCATAAAGCTTTGTTTAATTTTCTCTTGCTATTCCGTCTCATGTGAATTTAATTCGTTCTCCAGCCAGACGAACCCCCATCTGGGGAGAGGAAATGTTCTCCTCCCCTACAGACTCAAGCCACAATATCAGCAAAAGCTACAAAGTGAATATGCTCCTGATTTTTTCTATTTGTTCTCTCTTCTAGGCTAGCCTGAAAAATGAGTCTATAAATAAGCCCTTTGCACAGTGCTGCCAAGACTTGGTTGAAGCCATTGAAGATTTTCCTCCGCTTGCTCAAGAAGTTGACAAATGCTGAAACAGATGACCTAACAGGCCCCTAAGAAACTTCCTTGAGTCTTTTCTCCGAGAACTAACAATTATCCGTTGCAGGCTATTTGACCAAGAACCAGGATGGAGGTTAGGGGTCAAGCGGGGCACACACACCCTGGTCAGAGCCTGCAGGGCAGACCCTGCTAGGCAGGAACAGAGAAGAGCCCTATCTGGGGCAGGCCCAATGGGGAGGAACTGTGACCCAGTGGGCGAGCCTGTTCCCAGGCACATTTGGTCCCCTGTGTGGTCATCTCTGCTCAGCATGCAAACAGCCCACTGCACCATAGCCAGCTCTCCCCCAGGGATGACGGTGGGAGGCTGGTAATTGATGCCCACCTGCCAGAGAAGGGGAAGAGAGCACTCTGTGAAGCTTCTGTGAATCCCAGAAATGGTGGCTGAATCATGGAAACAGACGATGCACAGGTCCCCTCTGGTGACCCAGGAGAAGACCCGTTCACCCTGCAGTCTGAGCCCTTCTTGGTGCCAGGCAAGGTGCCAGGAGAGCAGGGTTTTGGTTTCCAGACAAGGAAAACAGGGAAAGAGGAGCCTGAGTCAGCTGTCCTGGCTGGGTCCTAAGCTGCCTGAAGGGCTGTCTCCCAGCAACTGTAAGGTGTGATCAGTGCGCAGGTGAGAGCACCGTCTTCCTTCCAAAAGGGACACTGCCCTAGATTCTTCATATGTTATTTTCTCCACAGGCTTCAACAATATGGGGATTAATTTCTGTGGCTGAAGGCTCTTCCACCCCAACAGATGCAGAGTACACAGCTGTGGTTGTATCACGAGGGAAGATCGTACCCCTGCTTTCCCTCCTAACGAGCCAGCCTGTGCAGAGTAGGTGACAGATACACTGTCAGAGGTCCTAGGACTGCTGCTCCCACTGTACCAGGAGGTGGTCTATGTGTGTACTGAGTAGGAGGAAGTGGGTGATGTTCTAGGGCTGGGACCAAAGGGGAGGCATTCCAAGTTTCAGATCCAAGGGACAATGTGACCAGAGGTTTTGGCAGCAGCACACAGGGTCAACTGGAGCCAGGGTCAGCAAACGTTGTAAGGGCAAGACACTACATAGTCTAGGCTGGGTGGGTCTGAGCTGGCAGAGGAGGCATGAAAAGGCTCAGGCAGCACAGTCCTGAGGGGAAGAATCCACAGGGTTCAGTGACCCAGGACTCGACAAAGCTGGAGAGCGAGGGCAAGGTGTCCATCCCGTATCCACTGGAAGGTGGGGACAAACTGTGGTCTGAGGCAAACTCAGGCCAGAATTTCTTGGCTTCCAAAGAGAGAAATAAAGATGTTGCTATTTTCATCACAAAAAGATTCATGATAGTTTTTCTTTAAGTCCAACACTGCACAGGACATTGAAATTGGGTGTAGTTTCTACCCTTATGGAATGAAGGAAGATTCAGTGACGGCAATCAGTTGACAATAATTCCCCAAATATCCACATGAATTACCCAAATGCCCTGACAATGCCCACATTTCCCAGTCCAACCTACATTTCCCACACTAATTCTACCACCCAGAAAAGGGAACAAAAAGCCTTCAAAAAATTTTCTATTCTGTTAAAAAAACAACTCTCACCACAGGTCTACGGTGTGATGACTCAGGAAGGAAGTTCAAAAGATGCCACCGAATAAATGATGACTGTGGTCGCCTAAGTTATGACCAAGAGCTGAGCTGCCAGGGAACTCTCTGCAAAGGGGCAGGGTTTGCTACTATACAAAAATTAGGTTATTTTAAAACTTGGAGGTGATGTAATGGCAATCGTAAACTCCACATTATGGCTAGTCATGTAATTCCCTGAAGCATATAGCAGTTTTTGACTGTGTCCTGACCAAGGAATAAGGTAAAGGGTGATGGAGTCGGGGAAGGAAAAGTGGACTAGGACACGGGTCACCATGGCCCAAGCACTGTGGTCACTGTGTGTGTCTCCCACTAGGTCTATCCTCTGTTCTCCATCCAGCTCTGGGCTCCCGGGGGCTGACCCATGTGGACTGCATCAAAGGGCTGCCCTGCCCTCTGGCTTCCACTTGCTTTGGCCAGTGTCAGGCAGCAGCAAGAGAGTGGGAGGTCAGAAGAAAGTGTGGGCAGGGTGCTCCCTCCCTGACCAACTGCCATGGGTTGCTGGAGTCCCCTTACCAAGGCCACAACTCTCAGCAGTCAGTGCTCCTCATGAAGTTACCCTGTCAACTTCCAGTGACCACTCCCTCCCCTCACCGCTTCAAGCCTAGGTGATGGCTCCCAGACATCACACATGCTGGGATACTGACTGCCCTTTGGTGTTTTCCTGAAATTCTGCCCATTCCTTTATGAATAGTTCCTTTCTAAAGATGCTCCACAAAGTACCTATTTCTGAAAGTACCACCTCTTTCCTGCTGGGAACCTTAGTGTACGGACACTAACCACTTGTTCAGCTGCAGACACATCATCCTTATAATACAGAGAGAAACTCAAATGAAATTCGAGGTGTCCCGCCACCCTAAATTCTAATGCCCAACCCCAAGAACTTGAAGTCCTGTTGTCTTCTATACAAGCACCAAATCTCAGAGTCGTCAGGGCATCAAAGATCAACATAATGCAGCAATCCCTCCACAGCATCCCAGAAGGAAGCACTGAGTTCCAGAAAGAACCTCTGCAGTGACGAGGAACTCACTCCTCCAGAGGAAAAATTCATCAACACTCTGGGAAGTGCTTTGGAATCCAGCCAACCACACCATTTTCAAATCCATATTACTCGTTTTGCCTCACTTAAATCCAGACACCCAGTATGTCACAGGATGTGTTTCCCAGGAGGCCTGACGTGGCATTCCACTCCCTCAGCCCCCGTGTGATCAGTCAGCTCTGTGACCTGGGAAATCTCCAATTTCTTCATTTACAAAATGAGGGCTGGGGAGCTAAGGGGTCTGAAGGCCGGTTCCATCTGACGATCTAACCAAGACACTAACCTAAGCAGTCAGGAAACTCATCCCTAGCTTTCAACAGAAAGCCTTAATTATAAATTCATCACCAACCTCACCTGGATCATTAAAGTTTACATTTCTTTAGTCAGCTGTATCTCCTCTCTGGAAAAATTATTTATTTATTTATTTATTTATATTTTTTTAAAGATTGGTATCTCAGCTAACATCTGTTGCCAATTCCTCTGTTTTTGGGGGGGCTGCTGGGCTGACGAGGACTGTCCTGAAGGGGAGACTGGGATGCACAGCCACATAACTGAGGGCCCTGTCTTCCGGCACCTCCACTGGGATGGGGGTTCAGGGGGCCGTGCTGGGACCTCGGGTGGCTCCAACGTGCAGGCCTGGTGGTGCCTCTGCATCTCTTTCTGCCAACAGCCCCCTGCCACTCCCTTCCCAGACCCTGTGGAGATTGAAGGGCCCGGAGTTTCCCCTGTGTTTTCAAGGCATAAACACAGGCCAGTGTCTGGTGTTCAATGGGACCCATAGGACCTGTGAGATCCAAGGCTGGTGCCCCGTGGAGAGCAACACTGTGCCGGTGTAAGTGTCCCTGACACGCAGGGCAGGGTCCAGGGCCAGCAGAGCCTGCCTCTTACCTCCCCCCCCTGCAGGAAGCCCCTGCTGGTCCAGGCTGACAACTTCACGCTGTTCCTCAAAAACACTGTCACCTTCAGCAAGTTCAACCTCTCCAAGTAAACATGGCAGGTCCTGGCTGGCCTCAGATCCTCCTTGTCCCTTGCCGGGCCTGACCCCTGACCTCACCTATCTCAGGTCCAATGCCTTGGAGCCCTGGGATGCCACCTATTTCAAGCAAGGGCCCTGTGACCCACGCTTCAGCCCCTCCTGCCTTGTAATTCCCCTTTGGGGACCTCACAACCATGGCTGGAGGAATCTTTGAGGACCTGGCATTGTGGTGGGTCTGTTGGGGGCAGGGATCTGGCAGGGCTCGGGGAGAGAGCTCCCTGGGCTGGTGGAATAGTGACGCGCTGTGTGCAAGGTGGTGCTGTGGGCATCCACCATGCTGGGATTGTGACCTGGACGCCAGGGGCTCTGACTGCTGGCCCCATGACTCCTTCCAGCTGCAGGAGAGGAGCTACAACTTCAGGTGCGGCCCCAGTGCCCACCTGCTGCTCCTCAGCCAAGTCCTCCCCGACCTGTCCTCCTGTGGTGGCCAGGACAGACCACACCTGGCCCATCCCTCTGGACGGTCTGCTGTGTGTGTGACGGGGCCCCAGGGCAGGAGGGGTGCTCTCAGCTCCAGGTCCCCCAGCACAGGCTCCGTCCAGCCTCCCTGCTGAGCCCTTTGGCCTCCACCCCACCTGTCCCCACACCCCTCCTGCAGCTGTGACCCCTCACCCCCAGCCCCTCCTCCACTCCACCCTCCTCCAGCATCTGCCTCCACCCCACAGGGGGCTTTATTTTTTACTTTTCCCTTAAAGTTTTTTCTGAAAAATTACAAGAATCTATAGAAAACTCCAAAGATTAGTACTGTGAAAACACATATAGCCTTCATCTGGCTTCGCCAGGTTTGTTTTTATTTATTTATTTTTACCATTTTGTCCCATTTGCTTTCTCTGTCCTCTAGAGGGAGCTGGGTATATTTAGATTTCAAAGGAAACTGCTGGAAAGCAAGTGGCAGATATCCAGACACTCACCCCTCTCAATGCTGTCCTAAGAATGAGGACCTTCCCCTGGTGACCGCTGTCCTCTTGTCACATTCAGGAAATTTATCACTGGCAGACAAATCTAACATTTAAATTTCCCCAGCTGTGCCAATAATAGTCCTATTTTTATTTTCCGATCCAGGATGCACTCAAGGATCTTGCCTTGCATGTATCATCATACCTTTGAGTCTCCTAAGCAGACATGCACACAGCCACCAGACCTGGAGGGGATGCCCCTTGACACTGCTCGCTGGGGCTGGCCTGGCCTGGCTTAGCCGACCTCCCCAGCTCTTCACAACCATGTGGGGCAGGACCTGCCCACGCCCTGCCCCCTCCCCTCTGTGCTCTCCCCATCCTACGTCTCTGCCTCGAACTCCTTCCTGACGCCTGGAAAACCAGCCTGACAGTCTCCTGGCAGGAAGCCCCTGGTTCCCAGAGGAGTGAGTCCCCTCTCTGGACCCCACAGCCCAGGCCTGCCCCCACTGCCCCCACCCCACTGACAGCATCTGTTTAGGGACCCTTCTGTCCCCATCCCCTCAGCAGGCAGGGAGCTTCTGAGAGGCAGGTCCCAGCTTGCTTGTCCCCTGTGTCCTCAGCAGTGACACAGGGCTGAGACCCAAGTCTCAAACTGGGGGTGGATGGAGTCAATGGATGAGTTAGATGAGGCCTGTGAGGGCCGGGCCAGCCCAGGAGTGGGCAGAGCAGGCCAGTAGACTCTCCTGCCCCCAGGACAGCCACTCACTCGGGGAGGCCTCAGGTGCGGAGGATCCTCTTTGACGTCCTGGTCTCTAGGCAGGTAGGGGCCAGGTTGGGGTGGGTGGGGAGGCAGGGGAGAAGGGTGGAAAGAGGTGATGGCCACAGTCAGAGAGGCTCAGCCCAGGTCTGTCTCAGGCAGGGAAGTTCGGGCCACAGCCCATTCAAATGATTTGAAGTTCGGCACCTGTGCTAAGCTCCTGTGGTCCTGAGGACCCCGTGGCATGGGCAGGCCTGCAAACCCAAGCTGACCCAGATAGAAGGGGCTGCCATCCCCTCCAGCCTCCTGAGGAGGTAGGGGAGGGCAGGCAGGCCCCCAGCGGTCCTCATAGACTGGTAGCCTGCTCCATTTGACTGGGCTCCTGGGCTGGGGCCTGGTTGAGGGGCTGTAGGGCCTGCACCGTCTCCTCCAGGCTGCCTTGTGTGGCAGTCAACCCTGGCAGCTCCTGCTGGTTCTCCTTGCTGTGCCTGATGCCATAGCCAAAATACACCACGAGTCCTGCAAGGGTGGCACAAGCCTGAAGGGCAGGTCCCAGCCCAGCTTCCCTGCTTGCTTCCTCCTGCAGCCAACCCAGGGTCCCAGCCTGACCCCCACTCACCGATCAATAGCCAGACAGACAAGCGCAGCCAGGTCAGGTAGCTCAGCTGCAGCATGAGGAAGACGTTGAGGAGGATGCTCAGGGCTGGAGTCAGGGGCACCATGGGAACCTGAGGGGCAAGGGCAGGGCTGCTGGGCTGCAGGGAGGGGCTGCTGGCCTGGGGCCTGATTTCTCGGGAGTCCATGGAGCCTTTCTCCGCCTCTGGGGATTCTGGAGTCAAGGGCCCGCTTGCCATGCAGAAAGAGGGGGATGGGGTACTGGCTTCCCCCGCCCCTTGACCCTGGTGCATCCTGCCACAGCAGAAGAGGAAGGGGCGAAGGGAGGTGGCTGGGCTGAGAGTGAGGGGTGCTGGCTGGAGGAAGTACCTGAAAGGTGTCCTCCCGGTGCTGTTGCTGGTGGGCCCCCAGGACGAGGAGACTGAGCAGAAACAGGACAGAGCTGAGCAGGAGCAGCAGGGTGTGGCCCCAGGGTGGGAGGTGCAGGGCCGAGTCCCCAAAGATCAGCCCGCAGTCCAGAATGATGGCTGAGACCACCAGGACACAGAGTGCCCAGGCCACGGCGACTCCAGGTCTGCATCCACTCATGAAGCCAAGGAAGGGCCTCAGGGCTGGTCGCAGCTGCCCGGGCTCAGGGGCTGAGGGCTGCTCAGTGTCCTCCAGCCGTCTGTGTCCTGAGGAGTCCTCATACCCCTCAGCCACAGGGCCAGGGCTGACTGGGCCCAGGGAACTAGATGGAGGGGTCTTTTGGAAGCGTAGCACTATAATGCTGGTGGCCACGAAGGTATAGTCCAGCAGTGTTCCCAGGGACAAGAAATGGACCAGTGCCTGGAGGTCCAGCAGCAGCGCCAGGAAAGCCATGAGGACCCCGAACACCAGGATGCTCACCATGGGCACCTGCGTCTGGGGGTGCATGTAGGTAAACACCTGGAAGAAGAGCCCATCGGCGGCCATGGCATGGACCATGCGTGGCAGGTAAAAGAGGTCGTTGAGGAGGAGAGTGTTCATGGCTGTGGCAGAGGGTGGGAGACTGGTCAGCATGGTGGACAGGCCCCTTGGGCCACTGCTGGGGACCAGGGCATGGGTGGTCCCTTGGGAACAGGGGCATGAGTCTATCTGGGCTCTCAGAGTGAGCCTGAGTATATGTGGGGTGCTGAACTGTTCCCCCTCGCCACCCAGGAATGCGACAGCCCAGTTTAGGTGACAGACCCACTGGAGAATCTGATGAGGGCTGAGTCCCTCCACCAGGCAAGGACCTGGCAGCACATGCCAGAACTGACATTCTGTGTACAATTGGGAGGGGCAGTGATTAGGTCTCTCCCAACAATGCTGGGTGGAGAGTCTAATCATTATCACCTTCCTGGACCCAGGATGCAACTGAGAACGCAGGCCCAGAAGGAGGTGTGTTCCCGGGGAGGCTTAGGGCAGGGTCCCACCACCCTGTCCCCTCCCTCCTTGCCCGGAAGGACCCCTTACCGCAGACGGAGCCAGCTGCCACAATCAAGCCTGCCCAGTTGTAGCCCCGCTGGTAGAAGGCATCAGCGAGTGCTGAGTCAGGGTCCAGGCTGTGCCATGGCACAATGAGGGTGAGGACAATGGAGACAAGGATATAGCCACCAGCCACCAGGCCAAGTGAGATGGTGATGGCCATAGGCACGGCCCGCTTTGGGTTCTGGGCCTCCTCGCAGGAGACTGCAATGATATCAAAGCCCACGAAAGCATAGAAGCAGGTGGCGGCACCGGCCATGACACCAGAGAAACCGAAGGGCGCAAAGCCGCCCTCCTCAGTGCTCCAGTTGTGCGGGCGGGCCAGGACAAACCCCAGGATGATGATGAAGAGGATGACGAGCAGGCTGACAGCAAGGAAGATATGGTTGAGCCAGGAATAGATGCGGCATCTACAGGAGATCAATGCAGAGGCCAAAAGTGTGATACCAGAAGCCAAGAAGTCCGGGTACTGGGCCAGGAAGGGCACTTGCCAGATGCCCACATGGGCCACGGTGAAGCTGCGGATGCGGTGGCTGAAGATGGCATCCAGGTAGCCACTCCAGGCGCGGGCCATGACGGTGCCACCAACGAGGTACTCAAGAAGCACATTCCAGCCAATGAGGAAGGCCCACAGCTCACCCATGGACACGTAAGTAAACAGGTAGGCAGAGCCTGCGCGGGGCACACGTGCCCCAAACTCCGTGTGGCATAGAGCTGCTAGCAGGGAGGCCAGAGTGGCCACACAGAAGGACATGAGCAATGCAGGGCCGGCCATCTCCTTGGCTACGGTGCCTGTGAGTACATAGAGGCCCGAGCCCACCATGCCACCCACACCCAGCAGGGTCAGGTCCAGTGTGGTCAGGTGGCGCTGCAGCGATGTCTCCGTGGTGGACTCCTTCAGTGTCTTCAGCCGGTTCAGCTTCTGCCAGAAGCGCGCCAGGCTGGCGGTGCTGGGCAGCCCCCGGGCCATGGTGGCCGGCTGAGAGGAGCACCAGCTGCCGGTACCTACGAGGGCCAGAGCGGAATGACAGGATGCTCATAAGGGTCTTGACCAGCCTTCAGTCCTTGCTCTGACCCTGCCCGGGGGATCCAAGCCTGGAACTACTGGCTGGCTGGAGGGCTGGGAGGAAGCAGGGTTCTGGGTCTGCCAACAGGGTGGGCAGGAGGTCAGTGGGAAGCATGGAGATCCCCTTGGCCTGCCACCCAGGCAAGGGAGGGAGCCTAGTGGAGCCCGATTGGGGTGTTTGGGATAGGCCCTGAGGGTGGGTAGGGGGCAGCCCCAGAGAACCCAGCTAGTAACTGCTCCAGTGGTCTGGGATCCCAGAGCAGGGTGGAAACCTGAGGCTTCCCAGAAGCTGTGCCAGGGCTCTAGGACCCAGAACAGGAGCTCCTCTGTGGCCCTGGGCATAGCCCAGATGGCCACCTGGCCTCAGACAGCAGCATTCATCCCCCCATGCCCTGTCCCGCTGGGCAGCTGTATCAGTGCACCCCGCTGGGAGTGGGGGGGCACCCTGGGTCCTACGCCCTGCGCGTGTACCCTGACATGCTGCTGCTGCTGCACCACTGCCTGAGCCACTTCCTCCGTGCTCCTATCCCTGAACAGACATTTCTCCAAAGAAGATATACAAATGTCCAAGAAGCACATGGGAAAATTCTTGACATCATTAGTCATTAGGGAAATGGACATCAAAACCACAGTGCGATGCACCCCCTAGGGTGGCTACAGCCAAAAGTCAGAGAAGAACAAGTGTTGAAGATGATGTGGAGTGATTAGAACCCTCATACACTGCTGGTGGGAAGGTAAGATAGCGCAGCTGTTTCGGAAAAACATTGGGCAGTTCCTTAAAATGCCAAACATAAAGTTACTGTATGATCCAGCCATTCTGTCTCTAGGTGTGTACCCAAGACGTGAAAATATGTGTTCACACAAAAATTTGTGCATGGATTTTCATAGCAGCATTACTCATAGTAGCTCCAAAGTAGAAACCATCCAAATGTCCATTTACTCACAATGGATAAATAAAATGTGAACTGTCCATACAACGGAATATTACTCATCCATAAGAATGAATAAAGCAGTGATACGACATTAATGAATCTCTTTTTTTTTTAAAGAGTGGAACCTGAGGTAACAACTGTTGCCAATCTTTTTTTTTTTTTATTCTCCCCAAAGCCCCCCAGTACATAGCTGTATATCCTAGCTGTGAGCGCCTCTGGTTGTGCTATGTGGGATGCCGCCTCAGCATGACCTGATGAGTGGTGCCATGTCTGCGTCCAGGATCCGAATCAGTGAAACCCCAGGCCACCGAAGCAGAGTGTGCGAACTTAACCACTCGGACATGGGGCCGGACCCTGATGAATCTTGAGAACACTGTGTTAAGTGAAAGGAGCCAGTTACAAAAGACAACATATTGTCTGATTTCATTGATATGAAATGTCCACAGGAGGCAAATCCATAGAGACAGAGATATCAGTGGTGGCCAGGGGATGGGGGAGGGGGAATGGGAAGTGACTGCTAACGGGGACAGAGCTTCCTTTTGGGGTGATCACAACGTTCTGAAATTAGATAACGGTGATGGCTGCACAATTCTGTGGATGCACTATAACCCACTGAAGTGCACATTTTCAGTTGGTGAGTATTATGGTGTGTGAATAAAGTTGTTGTGAAAATAAAAGATAAAGCACCAAACCGTTTCCAAGAAAGAATTCCAGGGGCCAAAGGGCTGAGCACCTGAGGGAGATGAAGCCTGGTGAACAGAGGAGCAGAGTAAGAAGTCGGGGACCAGTGTTTCTCCCAGGCTGGCCCCTTGTGCTTTACCTGATTGAGGATATGAAATGTGCAAGAAGACAGAGTCTCTTATGTCTAAGGGCTCTAAAATGGAGCTGGGAAGCCAGGAAGGAGACAGGTCTTATGCACGTCCTCATGGAACAGAATCTGAACCTCTGAAGTGGGTGATGCTGCAAGACTCCTGCAGCTCGTCACAGTGACGGAGGTTTGCTTCCCTCCAGCCAGCCTTAGCAGTCACTTATTTTTTAGCCAAGATTAGCTATCTGCTCCCAACCCTAATCAACATTTTTAGTAATGCAAACCTCCCTTCTGTGCCTTTAAAAGTCCCTGACTTTTACTCCCTACAGGGACACTATTTGGGTTTCTACCTGAGTCTGTGGTCCCCGAATTGCAATTCTCTGATCCCCAAATAAGCGCCTCTCTGCCCCTCATTTTGGCTCTATTTTTATGTTAACATACATGGTGTCAATAAAGTGGAAGTTGAAGTGATCTCACCTTCGTGGACAGGCCTCCCCTGGAACTGGGTACGGTAGACACATGAGCCACGTGGGGCTCACCGTTTCCATGGATCACCGACCCTTCCAATTGGAGGTCCTCTCAGGTTCTGACCTCCCTCCATTTGGTTGAAGTCAGTGCTTTTTTTGGGATTGGGGGTGACCTTCTAGGAGATGACTGTCTCAGTCTGGTGTGGAGGCCACTGCCACAGGATGGCACTCCTCAGCAGAGTTTCTTCTTTGAGAGGTGAGCACCCTCACTAAATTGAGGGATTTCTCTGTTGTCATTCTGTAACTGTGGGCCCTCCAGGACCAGCTCAACTGAGCCCATCTCTTAGCAACAGAGTGATAAAGAATTGCCTTTCAGAAAATCTGCAAAGTCACATAGCCAGGGCATGTACAAAAGAAGAAATGGTGACCTGCAACGACCTCAGAACCAAAGATCCTCCTTCCCACAGAACCCAAGGATAGGGGCACGACCAGAAGTTGAAAGTCAGACTTATCAGAAGCAAGGGGTCCCTCATTCCTGAAGATGTGCTGTTAAAATTCCTTCCCCACGGGGCCGGCCCCGTGGCCGAGTGGTTAAGTTCGCGCGCTCCGCTGCAGGCGGCCCAGTGTTTCGTCGGTTCGAATCCTGGGCGCGGACATGGCACTGCTCATCAGACCACGCTGAGGCAGCGTCCCACATGCCACAGCTAGAAGAACCCACAACGTAGAATACACAACTATGTACCGGGGGAGCTTTGGGGAGAAAAAGGAAAAAAAATAAAATCTTTAAAAAAAAAAAATAAAAAATAAAATAAAATAAAATTCCTTCCCCACTTCATCAAAAATGTTTAGAACCCCAGCAAAAATGTTTAGAACCCTGTCATAAATGTTTAAAACCTTACCATAAATGCTTGAAGCTCACCAATCAAAGCCTGTCCCACCAGCGTTTCCACATGCCAGCTTATTCTCCCTAACCTCTTAAATTTCACCCCAAATCCTGTAGTGGGGAGACAGAGTGATACTGGCTCATCCCAAGGTTGACATAAGGGAAGCCATATTGTAGAGAAGAAACCATAGTGTAACTTTGAATGACCTCTGACTAACTAACCCAGCTGGATATGCACCCCCCAGGAGATCTTCCTGCTCTGTAGATTTTATGACCCCTGCTTGTGCAGGTACCTCCCAGCTGCAATAAGACAATAACTTTGTTCTTTGGAGTCCCTTAGTGATGACCCCAGACAGAGAGTCTATCTTGTGTGGCTACTCCCAGTCGGTAACACCAGAAGGTCAACATTCCTAACCCCTCCCCTGTAACCCACTGGCCTATATAACTGCTTCAAGACTGTGCCCCCTTGAAGATGGTTCTTTTGGGCATCAGTCGGCCATCTTCTGCCCTGTTAACAAGCTGTAGTAAAATGCCCTTTCTCTGCCACCATCTTGTCTCTTTTTTTTTTAAGCCAGGATGCCCTGGTTTTTTTTTTTTTTTTTTTTTTTTAAAGATTGGCCCTGAGCTAACATCTATGCCAATCTTCTTCTTTTTTTCTTCTTCTTCTTCTTCTCCCCAAAGCCCCCCAGTGCATAGTTGTATATTCTAGTTGTAGGTCCTTCTGGTTGTGCTATGTGGGATGCTGCCTCAGCATGGCCTGATGAGCAGTGCTAGGTCCGTGCCCAGGATCCAAACCAGTGAAACCCTGGGCTGCTGAAGTGGAGTACGTGAATTTAACCACTCCGCCATGGGGCTGGCCCCACCTCTTGACAACTGGCTTTTGTCTTGCTGTGAGCAGATCAGCAGATTGTGCAGTAACAAGATCTGAGGGCACAAGCCCCCAGTCTCCCTGCAGATCAATCTCACAGAATAAAGCTGATCTCTTTTCCAAAGGCTGATGCCATAATTAATTGGCTTGCTTATGCGCATGGGGCAGAGAACCCCAATTTTGTGTGGTAACAATTCCTGTCTGTGTGCTTTTCTTTTACTCGAGACTTTCATTTTCTAAAGTTTCCTGAAAGTTTCTCCCTCAAAAATTCCAGCTGGTCTTATGTTTAAGAACTATGGTCCCTTCTCTTGTACCTTTCTCTCTCAATGGAACCAAAATTACTAAGGATGATTTAAAATCACAATGGCAGCAGAGGAAACATTCTAATGACATAAGATCATTTCAAAGGTGCACTTAAAAGCAAGGGTTCAAAATTCTAAAATAGCTTCATTGAAAGTTTTATTGCAAAAAGCCAATGAAAAATTAAAGCTCTAAGAGGGACCTAAAAGAAAAGACTACACAACTGTAAACAGAAGTCCACCAAGTTAGTGGCTCTACTGACACCCTCTTATCTACTCTTGCAGGAGGGCCCCCGGGGGGGCCCCTTCCGGAGTTGATGAGTCTCTGAGGGTTTTCCTGTAAACTTCTATGTTATTCTCTTAAACAGCCTAGGGGAAACTAAAATTAGAATCAGTGAGGTTATTAATATTGCCAGAAATATTTACTGTTTGTTGTGGCTGAAAACTAACAAGATATTTATAAGGATTTCTGGGGGGTTGTTTTTTTTTGGTAGCTCAAGGGTCAAAAATTGGCTAAATTAAAAGCTGATATTCAGAGCCTGATAGAACTTTTTTTTTTTTAATAGGCTTTCTTCCCCAGGTGTTACCACGCAAAATTCTTTCCTCAGGGTTCCTCTTCCACAAACTTTCTATAATTTTCTTTGTTACATTCAGAATTTGTCCCATGCTTTCTTTCTTCCCT